AATAATTCTGTTTTTGTAATTTTAGAATCTTTCAAATTTTCCTGCTCTTCTATTTCTAGCAATTTGTCGGCAAGATCGCACTCATCTTTGAGATTTTCCTTAGGAGTGAATACACTTTCCAAATGATCAGCAAATACTTTAGCTTTCCCTTCATCCCCTTTTACTTTAACTTTATTACTATCCAATATGGGTGGTGAATAATAAATCTGGTTTTCAAGGTACTCAGTCGCCTTTCAGAGGGAATAATCAGTAGGATTGAGCCATTGGTGATGAGTGTTTCAGAAAATTCTCAGTCTCATTATTTTTAAAAAACCAGCTCATTTTTGAGACCTCCCTATTTAGTCTGTTTAATTTACTTTTTAGTGTATTAGTTCTTCCTTTCATCCATAATTTCCTAACCTTCCTGGCCTCGCTAATTATTTCCAGAAGTTCACGAGGGACTTAAGGGGCTAATTTCATTCCTCTAACAGTTGGAGTATTTCTTTTTGCAGTTGTAATGATCTGCTCAGTGATAAAAGCGACTGTGTCTGCAATTTGCTGTTGTGTATCTATAGGATTTTTTAACTTAACAAGTGAATTTAGTTCTTCTCTGAATGTTTCCCAATCCGTTTTTTTTTTGCTATCGAAGTGGTGACCTATTTTAAAATAGCTGAGTTATACATGTCCATGTTAATGGGAGAGTGATCAGAGTCTAATTCCTTAGTAATAACGGTTTCACCACAATCAATTGAGTTTGTAGCAATATTTTTAACTACAAAAAAATCTATTACATCCGGTTGTTTTGTTGGGTCAGTCGGCCAATGTGTGGGACTCCCAATAAAGACATAGTCGCCATCAATGCTTCTTACTGCCGAATTCAACGCTCTTCCTCTTGTTAGGGTGGTTCTGGAACTCCACCTTACATGTTTAGCATTCCAGTCCCCGCCAGCTATGAATTTGTTCCCCAGAGTTTTTAGAAATTCTGAAAAATAATTATGTTTCATCTTAGGTCCTGGAGGACAATAAATAGGAGCGATTGTTGTCCCTTACTTTTGTTTTCATAGTAATTCTGATCGATTGAATCGCTTCAAATTTAGTTTCATTGCATATAAAATATTGAAATTCTTTTCTGATCATGATAGCAATTGCCCCGTGTGCATTATCAAAAGGGTGATTAACCCAAAGGACATTAAATTCACGCTTCTTAAAGTGACTAGTTTCGGAAAAGTGAGTCTCTGACAACAACACCACGTCAACTTGGTAAAAATCCATATAATTTGACGATTTTAGTTTCCTTTCTGCCAACAGTTCGTTTCCATGCTACAATTCTAATCTTCAAAGAGCGAGGCCAAGAATGGCACAATTCGGGCCAGCGGGGATTTTTCTGAAACCGGGCCCAAACGATACCTTATGATACCCTAAAACTCTGGTAAAAATTTTAGCTTGAGTATACGCACGGTTTTTGAGAAATGAGGGGGCAAAGTTGCCAAATCGCCATCATTCTGGACAGCGTTTCTACAGGAAAAAGACGGGAATAATGGACGAAAAAGTTACACCTTTGATGGGTTTCGGCTGCAAATATTCTTATTGGTCCCCCAAGCCATTAACTGTGTTCAATTTCATAAATTTTGGTCGCACAGTGGACCAAAATGGGGAGAAATCGTCGACAAATCAGGATTCCTTGTCAAATTATCAAAAATGGAAGTTAAAAATTGTCGATCTGCTGCAGTTTTCATGGCTAACAATGTTCTTATCGGTCCTCAATGCATGAAATTGTGTTCAGCTTCATAAATTTACATCGCACAGTGGTCAAAAATGGGGGAATTAGTGGACAAATTAGGATCATCCGTCCAACTTTTTAAAAATTAGGTGAAACTGTTGGTCCCCAGTAGAGTTTAGATCCCCGAAAAATTCATGTATTTAATTTTTTTAAATTATTACTGCATGTCAGACTGTATTGTTTATAGAACGTTGTTATAGAATAGACTTAGTAGCATTATCTCAATAAAATATGCAAACTTTCAAAAATCAAAAAAAAAGAAGGAAAAATGGAGCGAAGAAATTAAAAAAAGATTTAAACGGTCCAAAAAAGAAGTTAAAGAATTTTTCGGGGATCTAAACTCTACTGGGGCTCAACAGTTTCACTTAATATTTAAAAGTTTGACAGAGGATCTTAATTTTTTCACTAATTCCCCCATTTTTGACCACTGTGCGATGTAAATTTGTGAAGCTGAACACCATTTCATGTATTGAGGACCGATAAGAACATTGTTAGCCATGAAAACTGCAGCAGACCGACAATTTTACTTCCATTTTTAATAATTTGACAAAGAATCCTGATTTGTCGACGATTTCTCCCCATTTTGGACCACTTTGCGACCAAAATTTATGAAATTGAACACAGTTAATTGCTTGGGGGCCCAATAAGAACATTTGCAGCCGAAACCCATCAAAGGTGTAACTTTTTCGTCCATTTTTCCCGTCTTTTTGCTGTAGAAATGCTGTCCAGAATGATGGCGATTTGGCAACTTTGCCCCCTCATTTCTCAAAAACCGTGAGTATACACAAGCTAAAATTTTTACTAGAGTTTTAGGGTATCATAAGGTATCGTTTGGGCCCTGTTTCAGAAAAATCCCCGCTGGCCCAAATTGTGCCAAAAAACGGTCGTTTTTGGCGTCGCTCTTTAATTGTTTCAATACAATCCGAATTAGATTCAAGATAAGTGGGGATTTTATCCCTGTCAAAGTGACTACCAGGAATTCTTTCAAAACTATTTGAAGGAGGTCCTGGCCTTCTGCTTTGAGGCACCCTATGTGCCATCATTGCCAAATAGTATTCCTTCTAGAGTATAAAGCCTAGAAAAAGTTTGAGCATTAATAGTTGCTTGTTCATTTAAGAAATCAAGTATTTTCTCCATCAGACTCTCAGGATTTTCTTTATCGTTGGATTTACCATCGCTAGCCATTCTAGCAAAAGATATATTTTTGCGGACTGGTTTCTGGCTTAATTTACTTCCGGAATTATCTTCACCACAATTTTTTGGTTTTTTCTTGTTTAAATCTGCCAGCCTACATTCTTTGAAGAACTTTGCGATCTAGGTCCACTACATTTTACACACTTAGGATCTTTATGACAATATGCTTGGGTATGCGGAAACCCCTGGCAACGGTGGCACTGTGGAATCTTTGCCGGATCGTGCTTAACATTTTTGATTTCTACTTTCTCATGTGCTATAAGTTTAGTTTCAAAGATTTTCTTAGCATCATCTCTGTTATCGAATATGATTTGATGTAATGGAGGACCTTTCCTTTTCCCATTTTCGTCTTTTTTGCTTAGCAAATTAACAACTTTAATAATATTAAAACCTTTGGATGTAAGATCCTCTGTAATTTCATCTAGATCAGTGGTAGAATGCATCCTTTCAGCTACAAAAACCTTTAGACGAAGATGTTTGTCTGATAATGTGTACCATTTAGCATTATGGTTTTCAAGGTTTTCTCCAACCAATCTTTAAGTTTTGTGGTCTGCAGTATTAATTTTCCAGCTGTTGCCGACTATTGCTGCTAATCTATACTTATCAGAAGCGATGTTTTCAACAAATTTTTTAACCCCGCTGATTGATTTTAATTGAGTAACCTTAAATGAAGGAGGAACTATCATCTTTCTCACCTCATTTTCTTTTTTATTTTCAGTATCTTTGTTTTTATCTTTATCATTAGAGCTATTGAACGAACCATTGGTGTTTTCACTAGACGTGGTGACTTTCTCGACATCTCATCTGCCTTCGCATCCGCTTTTCTTCCTTTCTTAGCCTGGGTTTTTTGTGGGGATGAGTTACTTCCTTCGTTTCTCTTCCTCTTCTGCTTGCAGAGTACCCAGTCAGTTTCTTCTTCCACAATTCGATCTTCTGGGTCTTCTTCATCCATTGAATCATCCTTATTGTTTTTTCCATCATTGCTGAGAATTGAGTTCTTCCCTAAGTAGGTTGCTTGGGGTTCGAGGGTTTCCCTCTGAGCAGTTTCAGAATGCCTTTGCTCCTTTTTTCAAGCGCAAGCAATCTATTTTGAAGGACTTCAATTTTTTTTTCTTCCTTTTCTTCTTCCTCTTTTTTAACGATGTTAAAAAGTCCTTCAATCGTGCTTGTAAAGCCTTGCACCTGATTTATGGCTTTCGTATCATTGTGAGTGATGGAAATACCTTCTTTCATCACCACCGCAGCCTTTTTAAGAATTTCTTTGACTGAAATTTTAGGATGAGTCTGATTCGATGTTCCAACTGAGACTGGTGTGGCTATATTATCTGTTTTACCTTTGGCATTCATCCTCTTGGGTGTCTCCTGGGGCGATCTAGAAAGGAGCGAACTCCTCTCAAACGGATTTTTATCGGTCATATTTTTCACTTCTACTGGGCTCGATTTCAGAAAGTCCAGTTTTCCTCTGATGTAGCATTTTTGACAGCCGATGAACTGATCGTCTCTCCAAAAACAATACACAGAATGTTTACACTTGTGTGGCGACAGCGACACAGAAGTTTCGGCCGTAACCGCACTTTGTTTACGTTAACTCGTGGTCGCTGCGCGCCGCGATGCCCGGGCCGCGAGCCGAACCAAAAGATTCACCGTCTCACGAGCGCACACGTCTGCACAGTTCGAAATATCAACACCGAAAATAGCTTTAGGTAACACCAATTTTATGGAAGATCGAAGACAGAACCTCACTATCCTCTATCTAAATAATGAACTGATAACTTTAAGACACCACAAGAAATACAACGATAACTACAAATACATTCATCAATACAACAAAATTCCAATGAAATCTACGGACTAATACCAGTCAACTAATTAAATCAATAATGGATGGATTTTTTATTATTTAACTTTGGGTATAAGCCGGCTGTGTAGTAAACTTTGGTAAATCCCTTGGGACAAGAAAAGTAATTTAACAAATATCAAGTTACGTAATATCAACTATAACTTTTATATCCTCCATTAATTATTTTCATCTTTTTTTCTCCTTCAGGTTTTAGATGCAATCACCCTCAAGAATCTCAGTATTGTTGAAGATGAGTACGGGGGCATTCAAGGAACTTTGCTTCAAAAACTCGATAATTGCTCTACTGCTTTTGGAAAAAGGTTAGGTGTGGCCTATGCTCTTGAAAATTTCACCAGAAGTTTCCAAAACGCTGAATATTTCTTCCTTTCTAGTATTAACTCCCTAGGTGCCTTTAAGCATCAATTCTTTCAGTCGGCCTCTTTACCCGTATCTAGTGGTTGGAAAACCCACTTCACACTATCAAACTTTACATCCAACTCTTGGATGCAACTTGTCGAATGAAAAGTTCGATAGTGTAATACTGAAGACAGAAAACGACAATTCGATGAAAAATTGGACGGAAACTCGAATGTGACGTCACATTCAACTTTTCGTTCAACTTACCAACGAAAGTTGAACGAAAAGTTGGAACGAAATCTTCTGATATCAGCCGAAGCTGTATCTTCGCGAACCTTAGGCTTATGACGATATCATACTTCAATGGCTATGGAATCAATTTTTTCTGCGTCCAACTCTCCAGCCAACTTTTTGTTCAATTATGTCAGATGAAAAGTTTGATAGAGCAGCCTCTAATGGTATTAAAAATCCGAAAATTTGTGGAAAGCAAGTCGATACCATCAGTACCAAAGGGCAAATTTGAAAAAACTCCTAGGTCTTTTATTTTTTGTCAGGCGATGCGCGCAATGGCGGAAAACCCGTCAAAAACAACTCAATTTTGACCGTTTTTTCGCTTTCAAAACTTTATTGGACACCCTGTTATAACAATGAAGGTCCGGATATTCCAAAAATTTGTGCAAAGAGAGTTCATACCCTCTGTAAGGAATACAAATAATATTCTACTTGGTTCCAATACGTCTTACATTCCTCGTTGTCCGGTGCCTGCATTCACATTTAAAACGTCCCGAATACCTCAATTCGGCCGTTTTTTAATTGGGAAATTTATGAGACACCCCTTAATGACACCAAAAGTTCGAACATTTGTAAATGGCAAGTCCATACCAGCAGTGTAGAAGGGCAACTTTTATTAGGTCCATAGATTTTTCATTGTTAGTCGCGTGGTGTCTCCGTATACACAAAAATAGGTGCATAATGCCTGCATTTCGACAGGTTTTTCGTTCTCAAAATTTAATGGACACCCTGTAGTGACGGTGGATAACGAAAACTTTGCTAAAGTAAGTTCATGCCGTCTTCCTAGAATAAAAAATTCTACTTGGTTCCTATAGGTTTCCATACAGGCGGTATGAACTTATTTTCCTCGAATTTCCGGATCTTAATTGACTTTACGTGTCCAATAAATTTTCGAAAGCGAAAAAACGGTCATAATTGAGTTGTTTTTGACGGGTTTTCCGCCATTGGGCGGAAAATCTATGGATCTAATAAAAGTTGCCCTTCTACACTGCTGGTATGGACTTGCCATTTACAAATGTTCGAACTTTTGGTGTCATTAAGGGGTGTCTCATAAATTTCCCAATTAAAAAACGGCCGAATTGAGGTATTCGGGACGTTTTAAATGTGAATGCAGGCACCGGACAACGAGGAATGTAAGACGTATTGGAACCAAGTAGAATATTATTTGTATTCCTTACAGAGGGTATGAACTCTCTTTGCACAAATTTTTGGAATTTCCGGACCTTCATTGTCATTACAGGGTGTCCAATAAAGTTTCGAAAGCGAAAAAACGGTCAAAATTGAGTTGTTTTTGACGGGTTTTCCGCCATTGCGCGCATCGCCTGACAAAAAATAAAAGACCTAGGAGTTTTTTCAAATTTGCCCTTTGATACTGATGGTATCGACTTGCTTTCCACAAATTTTTGGATTTTTAATACCATTAGAGGCTGCTCATAAAATTAATCTTATACGTTCAAAAACCGTAAAATTTCGATTTTTAGAGCTGCCGAGCGGAATGTTTCGGTGTTACTAAGCGAAGTGAGAGTGACCTAGGAGAAAAACAAAAATTGTCCCTTAATCTACAAGTTATGTGCTGTGTTTGTACCAATTTTGGAACATCCAGCGTCAAATCTTTGACTCTAACTTAACTATCAAGGAAAGACGGTTAAAATGTCAAAAAAAAAAAAAAAAAAAAAAAAAAAAAAAAAAAAAAAAAAAANAAAAAAAAAAAAAAAAAAAAAAAAAAAAAAAAAAAAAAAAAAAAAAAAAAAAAAATCGGAAAAATAACGATCTTTAGGCGGTGTGCGGGCCGCGTTAAATTTTTTTCCCCCCAAATCCTTTTGGTTTTACCGCACATGGAACCATTTAAGACCGTGCAACATTTGGTTTGATTTAAGCAAATAAGTTCCACCCTAACCCCCCCCTTCATCCTTATTGGGACACATCCTTTCTGCACATAATTTTCGGTGAATATTCTTGAGAAGGCAGTGGAGATGTTGCATGTGTGAGGAATTTGCGATTTGACTATCGATTCTTATGTAAAAGTTCGCGAGAAACACGATGGTGTCACTGATCTTTTCTGAAATCAACTCCCAAGCTTAAAAAACGCTCTCAAAGTTGAGGCGTAATGGAGGGGATATCCCACGCTATCCTGAGAGTCCACGTCTACGTCAAGACAAACTCCCGGTGCAAAGATAGGGAGCAAATACATTAGCAGGGTTGCTGTGTTTTCAGTTTTAGAGCTCCCAAGTAAAGTGGCAGCCCTGTAAATGTATTTTCTTCCTATCTTTGCATGGAGAGTTTGTCTTGATGTAGAGGTGGACTCTCAGGATAGCGTGGGATATCCCCTCCATTTTGGCCTCAACTTGAGAGTTTTTTTTGAGCTTTGGAGTTGACATTGCGTTTCTCGCGAATTTTACATAAGAATCAATTGTAACTCGCAAATTCCTCACACATGCAACATCTCCATTAATAATTAATCCTTACAGGGAATACCGATATTTAGTCATCGTTGAAAAAATTAATAGATGTTACAGAAAATTTCCAACATCGCAATCTGAGGTATATGATTCCGTAGTATCACTTTCGATACCTTTTCTTTACCAGATCATCCTGATGTACTCTTTTTAAAACTTTTATTGATGAACATAACTACAAGTTATTAAATGTTTTTAACTATTTACACAACAAAAAATTTGAATGGGCGAGTCGCTAAACTCAAGCTTAATTGAAATCGGTAAAAAGGGACTATTTACAATTACATAGGGTGTCCCAAAAGTACCCGGACTGGTTCTGTAACTTCGAAACTAAGATGGATACAGACATGATCTTGGTTTCATTTTAAAGATCAACTCTATACCCATCGATTAAAACAAAGATCAGCTCAATCGAATAAAAATTGACCGAGTTATGGCAATTTGAAATCAGTGAGGAAAGTTTACCCCTACGGTTTTTTAGGAAAATTTTTCGCTTATCAGGATTCAAAAAGTGAATATTCGTATCCGCTTTCCTCCGAATCTTCCATAACTTCCTTTTGCTTTTCAAAGTACCGTTCATCAAACCGGATGCACTTTTTCATGCGCTCTTGCCACTTATCCAACATTGTTTTCCTGAATTCTTCCTCTGGGATGATGTTGAAAAAGTTCTGAACTGCATTCTGGATTTCGTTCTTTGATTCGAATCTTCGTCCGTGAAGCTCCTTTTTAAGCGTAGGAAACATCCAAAAATCACATGGAGCCAAGTCAAGGCTCTAAGGGAGATGAGGGATTGTTTTAACTCCATTTTTACTCATAAATTCACGTGTTAAGTTCGATGTGTGAGGCCGCACATTGTCTTGATGGAGTATCCACGAAGCTTTCAAGTCCGACCGTTTCCGGGAGATGTGCATTCTCAACTCCTTACACTCCTCCTTGTGACTCCTTGTCACTTTGCAATAATACGCACTATCAACTGTTGTGTTTTGTGGTACGAAATGTTGATAAATGACACCTCGAAAATAAAAAAAAAAAAACACTATAAGCTTAACTTTACAGGCCGATTTTTCGATTTTCGGCGATGAAGAATCTTCCTTAAAAACCGTAGAGGTAAACTTTCCTCACTGATTTCAAATTGCCATAACTCGGTCAATTTTTATTCAATTGAGCTGATCTGGGTCTTAATTGATAGGTATTGAATTGATCTTTAAAATGAAACCAAGATCATGTCTGTATGTATCTTAGTTTCGAAGCTCACCAGTCCGGGTACTTTTGGGACACCCAATGTATTATGTTAACTATCGTCCCTACTTTGCAGCATCCAGAAGGCACCACTGGGGCAAGAGATGGCAAAGGCCACCAAAATTTAATCTTAACAATAATGTGGTTTCCTTTTCTATTCAAATGTTTGGTGAAATTTTCAAGTAGATCATTATTATTTAAGTGTTTTTTGATGAGTATTTTTGAAAACAAGCAATAAAAAAGAAATTGTATTATTCCTCTTAAATTAGCGAAAACTAGAGAGAAAAATTGGAATGGTGAAATTGGACCCTCTAAGAAGAAACAATGATAGCTCTTCCCTTTATGCTCATAATTTCAATATGATTAACTTCATACCCCAGTATTCTATGCTGAACTTTTATTGAAAAAACCTGAAAAATTTGGCTAGGGTCTTCTACTACAACGTAGATGAATTAAGGTACACCATTTGGCATAGAGGAGAGGGTGGGGTACTGGAAGGGGTATTAATGAATAGAATCTTTATATGAACTATCCTGTGATTTCCATCAGAAATTGACCAAAATACCTGCTATCTTTACCTGTGACAGTAACTCCTTTTTCACATTATTCTGTTTCAGGTTGCTCTATCAGTGGATATGCAGTCCGCTAACGAACATAAAGAGCATTGAAGCTCGACAGGCTGCCATCAAAGCTCTCCTTGAAGAACCTCAAATTATTGGTGATGTTCGTAGTGCCATAAGTGGACTTCCCGATCTTGAACGATCTTTTGCCAAGTAATAATGCTTAACATATTTTTTGATATTTACCCCCAATTTTCTCAAGTTTGAAACACATGTCTAAAAAATGTAGCGGCACAGCTCCAGGATTGTACTGAATATAACTTAACCTTTTCATCCTCCGCAGTTCACACCATCATCTCTAAGTCATTCATGACAAGCAGTAGATGCAGTAGCTGTTACTAATGATGCTCTATGAAATTTTGGTACCACGTAAGGAGGAGAAGGGTTCAGAAACACAAAAATTTTTAGAGTTCAATCGCAGCATATTTTAATTTCTATCGCACGTTAGAAAGCTGAAGGCTTTCAGCCGAAAGCTGTAATTTTTTAACACTTATTATATACTAGCAACCAGTAAGTGCTTTGCATGCAGCAATTTTTACATACTGAGTGATAGAAATAACCTCTAGGAAATCCCAGCAAAGCTCCATTTCATTGACCTTGATTGTTGGCCCGATATTGAATAATCTTAATCGATAAATAGCATTGCCAAGATAGGGATTTATGGATTAAGTTCATTTGATAACGATTCAACAATTGACCCGCTTAAAGCTCTTTTCTTTCTGTTTTCTTGAGAGTGGATTAGGGGAGTTCTGATTTTACAAGTCAAGGTGTTCGGCAAAATTTCATGATGACTTTATAAAAATCCAATAGACCAGAATATTTAAATGTGAAGCAAGATTATAAGTATAAAATCGAATCATCTCTAGAATTCAGAGGCCTAAAGAGTGGTGACAGAGATTTTTTCTGAAAAAGATTGTTTGTGTAGTGTTTGATGTTGCCGTAATCACCCTTGGTGAATCATTATTGTCAGAGTTGAAGCCTGTGAAGGCTTCGGAGATGAAGGACAAGTGACTCTGAATTTTCAAATTTGTAACTTACCGCCCGATTAAGAAAGGACTTTAAATCATGAATCCATGCTTGTTGCTGTTTTCTAGGATGACCATACAGAGCATGGAATTTTCAGTTTATTCAATGATGTTTTGACGCCTGGTGAAAATTCAAATGAAGTTTGAGGGAAAAATTAGTCTTAAAGTAGGGGAATAAAGTAATTCCCTGCATCTCACAGTGGTTGGGTCGATTAGGGGTCCCTTCAGCGACCCTCATGTTGGGGGTACTGTAACGAATTTTTCCCCTCATCCAAAAAAAAAAAGTAATTCCCAATTTCTGCAACAGATTCCCTGATTTTCCCTAAAATTTTTCATTCCCTAATGAATCCTGGATTTCCCCGGCCCTTTTTATGAAGGCATTTGGTTCATTATGGTGGCTCTACACATGAATAAAAACCCTTTAAAATTGAGCTTATTCGTTTATAAACTCACCGAGTTGAAGCAGTTTTTCAGGAACAAGATGAAAATAGTCCTATAGGATTTTCAAGTAATTTTTCATTTCCCAAACTGTTCCTGAGCCGCGCGGCTGACCATGTGGTCACTGTTCTGGACGCAGGTTCTAAAATGTTAAAATGTGTTCTCTTTGCAATCAAGGAATTTCATCCACGTTAAAGTTTAGTGCAGCCAAAACAGTATAGGGTAACAAAGTGTTTCCTTGTGAAGCGCAATGAGCTCGCACAGCTGCAACAGGAACAACGTCATGCCATTCGCTATTGTGTTTGCCGTGGTCTTTCTGCCACTGATACTTTGAATGAGATGACAGTTGCTTATGGACTAAATCGACTCGGCTAAAGTACTGTTACTCTGTGAGTTATCAGCTAAAGAAACTCAAATATCGAGATTTGACCGCTAATAGCATGAACTATAACCTCCCACAAACCGAATTTTGGTATCTATCATTGTTTCCAAATCACAGACTTGGTCTCAGTTGTTTCGGGACAGCCTTTGTTTTAAGCTTGACAAGCTGTATTTTCTGATTCTGCATCATATAACGGCCAAGATTAAGTTCGGTTCACCCCCAAATTCGAAATATAATTTTGGGGGAAGTTGGACCTTCCATTAGAACCTTATTCGCACCCTCGAACGGCTTTGCTCTTGGCCAGTGTGCAACGCTTAAAGCCACCATACTATTTTAGCTCTGAAACACAAGGAGCGTTGTTTTGCCGTCTCAGGGAGCGACCATCTTTGCTGATTTTTTTGAAATATTTTATGGGGGGGGGGCTTTCCGCGAAAATGGTGAAATAGGAATTTTATAGTTTTTTATAAAAAAACTTTAGGCCATATTCTGATCAGAATCTAGGTGGAAAACTGAGTGACTTCCCTCATGAGTAAGAAACTGCAATAGCAATGAATGAAGATCAACAATTTTAAGAAAATTCCAAAGAAACTGCTCTATGCAGTTGCTGGCCCTTGTAAGTAGTATTTTTAGCCAAAATCTTTTTAAATATCCTGAAAAAAAAAAAAAAAAATTATGTGAAACAACTACGGTAGTTTGTAAGAAGTAAACCTTCAAAGAAGCAGAAAGTGAGTGAATTGAAGAAAACAAAGTGTTCAAAGTGACTTGACGAAATTTTAACGAAAAGAGCTTACGAGACGTCACTTCGGAAGTTTTCTTCATGAGCAAAAATTCAAAGTTTCTACAATAGAAGCATATTCCGGATAGCTGGAGGAAGTAAGAAGCAGTTTATCTTCTTTCACTCTGTATTTGTCTGCCATCGCCATTTGCATTTTCCTCTTCATGGTAAAGTTTATTTTAATTCAGAGGGAACTTCTTATGCAATCTCAACAATTTTCATTCTGTTTTTTGGACAATCTACATTCCCGAGTGTTTCCTATGTATTTTCTTCTCTCTCTTTCAGGATTTACTCTCAGAGCAGCCATGGATTGAAAGCAGAACACCCTGATGCTAGAGCCATTCTTTTTGATGAGCATGTTTACTCCAAAAGAAAAATCTGTGAATTTGTTGCTACCATCAATGGATTTGACAAAATTCAACAGATGATGACAACATTGCAAAGTTGTGGTGTTGGAGATTCAGCGGAGCTGTTAGCAAATTGCTGCTATCATCCTCATTCAGAATTAAGTGGAAAATTTCCTGACCTGTCAGAGCATATTAGTTTCTTTAAAAAAGCATTCAATCATGCAGAGGCACAGAGAGTGGGTCGCATTATTCCTATTGCAGGTGTTGATAACGATTACGATCAAGTGTGTGCTGAACTAAAAGATCTTGAAAGAGAGACCGAAGATTATTTACGGTTACAGCGTCGCCATTTTGGCTGCAATGTAATTTTTGTTGGCACGGACAAAAAGAGGTTCCAGTTAGAAGTTCCAGAAACTGCTGCCAGTAAAGCCGGAGATAATTATGATTTACAATCACAAAAGAAAGGATTCAAGAGGTATTACACCCGTGAAGGCAGAGAGTTTGTCGAGAGAATGATGGCTGCCGAAGAAAAGAAAAGAAAAGTCCTAATGTATCTTCGTCAAAGGTTATTCTCGAAGTTCTGTGAGAGGTATGAATACCTGGATCACTTAATTTTTTTGTTGTGTTTTTGTCTGAGCATCCAGAATACCCTCTAGATAAAATTATTTCTCTGCATGCCTTATCAGTATGCAATACGCAAGGCTCATAGTGATGAGAGAAACTGGGAAAGCCTAGGGAATATAATGCAGTAGACGAAATTTTGATAAACTACAGAAACTCTGGGAAAGATCACTGAGAAAACTTAAAATTTTAGCAATTTATAATAATGGCAGGCGAAGATTTCAAATTATAGGGTGACCTAATTAATTATAATGAATTTAGCGATTTTATCCTTGATCAGGAGGTAATGGCATCAGATTAAATTTGTTCTTAAACTTTCATCCTGATTATAGTGTAGATTTGATTTTAAATCGAATGAGCAAAATTATAAACAGAGCTGTTGCACGTGTGAGGGATTTGTGATTCAAGTACTGAGTCCTATGTAGAATTTTCCGTGAAACACGATGGTGCCACTGGTTTTCTCTGAAATCAACTCCCAAGCTCAAAAAAAGCTGTCAAAGTTGAGGCTGTAATGGAGGGATATTCCACGCTATGCTGGAAGTCTACATGTATATTAACAATAAGTCGCCCTCTCTATGCATTATAGGAAGAAAATACACTAGTAGGGCTACCACTCTTAGTCCAGGCAAATAAGCCATGAAAGGGGCTATAGCCTGCAAAAATCCCGGGTAGCAATGTTTTCATCAATTCCTATGTAATTTTTGACGCTGAATCCGAATTTCAACTTTGCGCCATTAAATTCGGACCGGAAAGTTGCCAAATTTGGCAAAAATTGCCTAAAATCGGCCTTTTTTCAGGATTATGGCCTGTAACTTGCCAAAAATTGATCTGACGATTAAATTAGTTATTTTCAGAAATAAAGCTCGTTAAATTTCTTATAAAAAAGTTTGTATTCTTTTTTTGGCTCAAGGCAAAATCAAGCGCGCTGGCAGGCTCCGAACTTTGTAAAATGTGCGAAAATTGCGCATACTGTAATGTGTTGGGTTATCATTATTTACATCAATTCTTTTCACTAAGTGTAAATATTATCATCTTCACTTAATTTGTCCAGAAATTACTCGTCAAACGATTTAAAGCAGGAGACATCGGGCAAAAACCGCGAAAAACACAATTTTCGCTCATTTTTCAAAGTTTAGAGCCCGCCAGCGCGCTTGATTTTGCCTTGAGCAAAAAAGTGTAAAGGAACTTTTTTATAAGAAATTTAACAAGCTTTATTTCTGAAAATAACTAATTTTATCGTCAGATCAATTTTTAGCAAGTTACAGGTCATAATCCGGTAAAAAGGCCGATTCTAGGCAATTTTGGCCAAATTTGGCAACTTTCCGGTCCGAATTTTTTGGCGCAAAGTTGAAATTCGGATTCAGCGTCAAAAATTACGTAGAAATCACTGAAAGCATTACTTCCCGGGATTTTTGCAAAAACCGCAAAAAAATGCGATTTTCATTCATTTTTATAAGTTCGGTGCCCGCCAGCGCGCTTAATTTTGCCTTGAGCAAAAAAGTGTATAGGAATTTTTTTATGGGAAATTTACGAATTTTTTTTAAAAGCAACTAAATTGTCGTTACATTAATTTTGGACGAGTCACTGGCCATAACCCGCAAAGAAACCAAACTTTCGCTCATTTTTCAAAGTTTGGAGCCCGTCAGCGCGCTTGAATTTTCCTTGAGCAAAAAAAAGTATAGGAACTTTTTTATAGGAAATTTAACGAGCTTTATTTCCGAAAATACCTAATTTTATCGTCAGATCTATTTTTAGCAAGTCACAGGTCATAATCCGGAAAAAAGGCCGATTTTAGGCCATTTTTGCCAAATTTGGTAACTTTCCGGTCCGAATTTAATGGCGCAAAGTTGAAATTCGGATCCAGCGTCAAAAATTACACAGCAATCGACGAAAACATCGCTACCCGGGATTTTTGCAGGCTCTTTTCCTTGTTTGCCTGGACTAAAGTAAAAACACAGCAGCCGTGCCAATATATTTGCTCCCTATTTTTGCATAGAGAGAGTGACTCAATATAGGGGTAGACCTCCAATGTAGCGTGGGATATCCCCTTTTTTTGCAGCCCCAACTCTGAGAGCTTTTTTTGAGCTTGGGAGTTGATTTCAGAGAAAACCAGTGGTACCATTATATTTTTCGCGGAATTCTACATAAGAATCAGTGCTTGAATTGCAAAATCCTCACATGTGCAACATCTCCATTATAAGGAGTCTGTTCAATGACTTACGTGCACACAAATAATTTTTGATGTAGGTATATACTGAGGAAACTTAGCCTCTTGCTCTTTGGCTCTTTTTGGACGACATCCAAAAAGGCGCAAATTGGGAGATTAAAAGAATGATTGGGAAGTTGTCAAACTATTAGCATTTGCGGACAACATTGTTTTTCTGGCAGATAGGGTAAAGCAGAGTTACAAGCCATGGAAAGTGAGGTGTTGAAAATTATTGTGATCTTTGGAACCAAATAGTAAATCTGAAGAAATTCTAGGTCATAATTTTTAGAAATGAAGGAAAAGTAGGCTAGAACGAAACTTTTTGGTTTATGAAGGAAAAAATAGAATTAGTACTAAGGTATGAATGAAAGAATTCGTGAAGTCTTGGCTGCCCCATCGGTTTTGATACTAGATCTTGTCCTTCTCATGGCCTGTGCAAACACAAAGAACAAGGACTTACGAAAATACAATGAATCCAGTCTCATGATCATAATTGAGGACACTGCACTAATAATGGAGATTGGCGGATCTTCCCGCGAAGCTAAAAATGTAAATAAGTGTAACAACTGGACAGAGCTTACCTCAGATGCATAGATGCATAGAAAGATGCATAGATGCATAGAAAGATGCATAGATGCATAGAAAGATGCATAGATGCATAGATGCATAGAAAGATGCATAGATGCATAGATGCATAGAAAGATGCATAGATGCATAGAAAGATGCATAGAAAACGCTTTCCAACAACTCTACAGCAACCACAAACACTCTGGGTGACAAGCCCATAAGCGTTGGTTGATGCTATAATATACCGTAAATACTAGGAAGTGCCGATTTTGGCTACTTTTAACTTTTGTCCCCCCGCAGCAAAAAAATACTCAAAGAATCATGCTGAATATTGGCATGATGATTCTTCAAGATTCAAAGGCCGTACATTTTGGTGCCTGACGTTTCAAAATGTGTCATCAACCGAGATATGATGTTTTTAAGATTATAAAGTAGAGACTAATTTTGACTGTTTTCTACGACATTTACTGCGGCAGAAAAACTACTTGAAGGATCATACTTAAATTTGGCATGATGATTCTTCAAGATTCCCAGAATAGCCTATAAAAAAATCGATACTTTATCAGTTTTTTTTTGTCGTACAGCGTAAAAAAAAAAAAAAAAAAAATTGAGAAATCTGTATCGATTTTTTGAAATTATTTGTCCGTCTATATTTCGCGTTTTCCCGATAAAAATATTGAAGTGAGAAGAAACTTTAAATCAATGTGAATGAAAGAGGTTGTTCCATCTACCATTGAAACTGGGCCCAGAATGAAATCTCCTCATCTTTTCAGGTATCAAAGGGCATGGTCAGGGACACCCAAAAATGGTTGAATTTTTTCCAAATTCCCCCCTGGGGAGGGGGGGCGGGGGGTTATATGAAAAACGGTTTTTTGGCTATAACTTTTGAACGGTTTGAGATATCGATTTGAACTTTTTTTTAAATGAAAGGTCGTTTAAAGAGCTTTCTTTTTGTATATATGCTTAATAGTTGGGTCAATTTTTGACCAATTTATGGCCTGTCAAAAATTTTCCATGAGTCCAAAAATCAGATTTCTGTAGTTTAGAGCAGCGACGATCGCATGCAGTTGAACAAAAAACTGTTCAACTTATAGCCCTCTCTCTGACGGTTACAATGAGCCCAAGATCATCTTGGGGAAACGATTTGTCTCCGAGTTATGCTTCTTCAAAGTTGGCGCGGCGGGGTCCGGCTTCCGCGGGGCAGCGCTCCGGAGTACGATAGTTTACTCCCACCCCCCTCCCGTCATGCCACGCGACGCAAACCGAGGAAGACTACCTTTAATGATCATTTGAACAGATAAATTCACACAATATACGCTATTATGTTGTACAAGTATTAATAAAAAGTATATTAATATAATGAATAGAAGAGTGGAATCTCACCGAATTAATCATCACCGCAATCCATAGGATCATCGGCAGTGTGATCCGCATTTTCATCCTCATCTTCGTCGTCTGAAAAGCCAAAATCGACTTTTCTGAGAGGGAAGCACTCGTTCAAAAAGGCTGAAGGCGCTGGTTTTTTGTGATAGCGCCCGTAAAACAAATACCACAGTATAGTTACGACGTGAGCACAAGGATTGATGGTACCTGCACCGTTCTTACATGTGCAGTAACTTGCTTTAAAGGCCTCGCTGGATTTTTTACTGGTGTCGATTAATATAAATACATGATATTCTTTTTTTGATTTATGCCTCGATAGGATCCGCGATCGAAGAAGAAGAGGCGAATTTAAGGAAATATCATATTTTTGAAAATCTGGAAAAAGTTTTCCTTCAACTTGAAAGCAATATTTTCCATTAGCAAAATGGTCTGCAATATAACTTGCTGCAAGTCCAATTTGATAACTTCCCGAGAGGGTGTCAAGATCTTCGCTCCTCCACTGTTCTAATTGTCTAAAATGATCTGTCGTCAGGTTTTCAAAAACTACTTTTTTTCGGAGCCATTTCTCGTCCTCAACAATTTGTTGCACAATATTCGGCTCATTTAATTATCGGCTCATATATATTCTTTGCGGCAAATTAACACCACAGTGCCGGATCCAGGTATATTGCTTCTCATTTTATAGAGCGTTTTCAATATAATTTTAATAATACTTGTACAACATAATAGCGTATATTGTGTGAATTTATCTGTTCAAATGATCATTAAAGGTAGTCTTCCTCGGTTTGCGTCGCGTGGCATGACGGGAGGGGGGTGGGAGTGAACTATCGTACTCCGGAGCGCTGCCCCGCGGAAGCGGACCCCGCCGCGCCAACTTTGAAGAAGCATAACTCGGAGACAAACCGTTTCCCTAAGATGATCTTGGGCTCATTGTAACCGTCAGAGAGAGGGCTATAAGTTGAACAGTTTTTTGTTCAACTGCATGCGATCGTCGCTGCTCTAAACTACAGAAATCTGATTTTTGGACTCATGGAAAATTTTTGACAGGCCATAAATTGGTCAAAAATTGACCCAACTATTAAACATAATATACCAAAAGAAAGCTCTTTAAACGACCTTTCATTTAAAAAAAGTTCAAATCGATATCTCAAACCGTTCAAAAGTTATAGCGAAAAAACCGTTTTTCATATAACCCCCCGCCCCCCCTCTCCAGGGGGGAATTTGGAAAAAATTCAACCATTTTTGGGTGTCCCTGACCATGCCCTTTGATACCTGAAAAGATGAGGAGATTTCATTCTGGGCCCAGTTTCAATGGTAGATGGAACAACCTCTTTATTTGGCTCCAATTTTGTGCATTATCACTGCATTTCGGGCGACGGATGTTCATAATTTTAGCTTGCCAGTTCATCTTTACGTGGAAATGTTTTTGGTGGGGTGATAAGAGCCTATACACGTATAGTCTGTTATTGCTCCCTTCGAATTTTCTGTACCCTGGACTACGAGGCATAGATAGAGCATTGATAGGTAACGGTGAAAGGTGAAGAACTCTTTTTTCTGAGTCAAGTCAGGCCTCTAGAGCAGCCTTAATGCGCAAATGCCGTTCATGCATCCTTCATGTTATTAACGTTATTTTCGGTTCCAAGCAATGCCTATAGTGGCAACTAGACTTACTTTTTGCTGCTAAAATCGGAAATGACCCTAGTTTTTCCTTCCACCTACCAATTTCCCGGAAAATTGCGTTTTCTATGAAAATACCTTTTGAGGGTGCCAATGTTATGGTTTTACTTAACATGGACATCATCTTGTTTAGTCAGCAAAGGAATAATTTCATTTTGTGTTAATCTTGCACGATTATAATGATTTTTACTTTTTATTTCCCCGATAATTTTTGTCGCGCGCAATGATAGCCTATAAACTAAATTTTTAAGTTAAATATTTTCCAGTGAAAATGGGAAAAGGATTGCAATATATACCCGCCTGGCATACTTTAATAGACGGGAAAGTGTTGTAGTGTAAGGAAACCCCATCAAGTTGGCAACAATACTTAGAGTTTTAAGTTCTCAGCCTGTCGGCAGCCAGGTGTCAAGCTCTGTGTACCACAACTCTTATCTTTTTGTTGTATAAAAGTTTGTCCCGTACTTTATGTTTCCGTTCTCCTTTAGTCTTTGAGCTCAAGTTAGCCTAGCTCCAATAGTCCATCAGTAAGGTCACCCCAAACACAAAAAAAGGGTATCAGCATAACACAGTTGTTGTGGAACATTATACAGGGTGTCTCACGAAAAACGAGCCACCTTGAATATCTGCCGAACGCGTCGGAATTTCGAAAAACGGTAAAAGACGTGTTCGTTTATATCGAGGGGGACACCTTTTGGCTTATTTGACATTTTCCCAAACCGCGGGAAGGGCGCGGGGTGCCCTACCCGTAAGTCGAACTTTTCAAATGGCACCCCTACTTTTTTATTTCAGAAATCAATTCTACGCAAAAAAACAAGCCACCCTGTCCAAACCGAATGTAAATCGGACAATTTTTCAGTGATTGGCAGAGGTTGAAACATTTTTTTCATGCTCTTTTCAAAAATTTCCCACGCCCAATGGAATTGCCGTATCAAACCAAACTCTCCGCCAAAAATATTCTTAAACATCGCACTTTCGATAAAAAAAAATCAAAAAAATGTCCTGCACTCGAAATCTGAAGTACGCGGAGCCCTTCTTTGCAACATTAAAATTTGTTTTACCGAAAATTTCCGAGGGGCGCTCATTGGGAGGGAGTAGTAAGTTTTAGACAAGAATTATTATTCTTTTGTCTGAAGCATAAGAAACCGTGTCCATGAAGAAGCAGCTAAGTAGAAAAAAAAATGGATTAGCATTTTTTTTTT